GGAATTAAGTGAAATTCGTATGAAAAATGTTACCCCGAACCATAATTTGACATGAAAACTCACAAAATTAGGCATTTAGATTGTGGATAATAATTTCTTTCCACTGTGATTGAGATTGAGACCCGTTGGATTTATAGAATTTGGAGAATTTGGTACTTGGAAGCAAGTTGATTCAACCACACAAAATGATCTTAAAATTATTCTTTCAAGAAAGTACTTTTGACTTGTAATTTATGTTAAAGAATGCTATGTAATATTTCAGTTCGAATGTGTGTTGATTAGTTTCACACATCGTGTGATACCATGTTAAATTATTTTATTAAAATGTAGAACAATGCTAACCTAAGGAGAAATCAAAGGATTGATAAAAGAAAATAGTATGTATACCTTGGGGGCATTTTGAAGTGGTCATAATGGAGCCACTTCCCAAAGGGAGAGAGTATCGAATCATTTCTTCCTTTCTTTATGCTTTTTCTCAGTTTGCTACAGCTCTCTTTACCACTCCCCAAGAAAATGGTGGGTAATACTTATTAGGGTTTTTTCTCTTCTTATTTCTGGAGAAACTAAGGTGTGCTGCTGCTTTTCTTTAAACCTAGAGAGAGAGAGAGAGAGAGAGTCGTTCAACAAGTTAATGTGCTAGCAATTTTGTATCGGACATGTTCCGTAAACCGAATATTCAATATTTTAAAATATATGATTCTATTAAAGTTGAATATTATATATATAAAATTAAGTTCTGATTTTTTATACGACGTTTCAATCGTGTTTCATGTCCAATTTATTATGGAAATACATTCCTTACATACCCTGTTGACGTACTGCGTTTCTTGTTTTAATTTCCTTTTATTTTTTCCACGTTTAAGTTATCAACAAGTATTAGAGCAAAAGATAATAAGGGAAAAAAGAAATGTGAAAAAAAAAAAGGCAAACAGAGTAGAGGAAAAAGAGAAGATATAAAAAGAAAAGATGGTCAAATTGAACCTCGAAGGCCTCCTTTTGTGTCATCAGCTTCGACTTTCTTTATCGAAATTCTGCCTTTTTTACTTTCTTCCATTTTTGAACACTTCCATTGATTCTCTTAATTATTCTTTTTCTTTTTTAATTTCTAAAGAATGGCACACTCTTTAATTTATTAATCATCTTAACATTTGTGAATATAATATACTTCGAGGAATAAAGAAGAAAATAAACATCCTAGGAAGTTCCAGCCATGCAATATTAATTAATTTCGTAAATTATGATTTCTCAACAAATTTGACATCAACAAGAATGTGCGCTAAAGATGGAAGATCATTT